GGGGACCTGCAGTAGATTGAGGGACCGCGACGAACGGTGTCTCAGGTCTTGGGCTAGGTGGCAAGGGGGGTTTCGTCGCCGTGGTCGTCGTTGCAGGCGCAGGCGCGGGCGTTGACATTTCGCGCGCCACTGACGCAACGGCAAGACGCGTTGGTGATGACTCAGGAGCACCAGCTATCACCATCTCACGGAGGAAGGGGACGCGGTCGCGGAACGCACGCATCAGGAGGACAGGGCGGTGGCCTGGAGAATGGGTACCAGGCAGCAGGGCGTCAAGCCTTAAACTTACTAAACGGGCTTAGTAGTAATAATGAGGACCCGGGGGATCCTAATTATAGGCCTGAGGCAGAGACTACTACTACCGGCGACGAGAGTGTCGAGGATGAAGACAGAAGAGAGCTCGCTGGGAGAAATCCCAGACGGGACCAGCAGGAAAGAGCTACGAGGCAACAGGAAGGATGTGAACTGCACGATGGAAATCGTGCGGCCGGAATTCCAACCAATTCTCAATCTCCAACATCGGACCGCTCCCGCCGAAACGAAAGCGCCAGACGCCAATCAGGCGCGATGGCGAACTCCCAAAACATGCACTACTATTCGCCAGAAGAGCTGGCAACGCATACAGACAGATTTGTGGCGATCGCAAATTGGGATATCTGTGAGAGACGACGACTTATACTGGCTTTGCCAGCTTGCCTTACCTTCATTATGCTACTACTAGCTTGGGTTTTATTTATCATGCATAGTTATGCTTGATTTCCTAGGTTAAGTGCATTCCTATATTCGATTATAGTATAGCACCGAACCAGGTTACATGTACCGAATTCAAGCCTTTCGGTTACCACCGAACTGCTTTCTACCGACTTCGGGAAGGTTCTTTTCTGTACGCTTCGCGACCCTCAGAACATTCGCGTAATGCTTGGATTACCTGCCTTGTGTCGAGCCTATATTAGCCTCGTGTTGTACCCAGGCGGATCAATCATTGCAAACCCATTTTTCTGAGCTCGATCCTCGATCCTCACACTTGGTAATTAGAGCTGTTTGCACGCGAAGATTTTCGACCACTAAAACACCAGTCTTAAAAAACCGCGGGGGCAACGATCGTTAAACACCGATTTCAGGTACATAAAACCGGTTCCGTGCTTTTCACTACCCCTCGTTTTCGGTTTTTGGACACGCGATGTCTGGCATGGAGGGTCAAGGCGATGATTTCGTGCAAGAAATCGCCACCATTTGCACTAATCTGGACCAGACGCGGGCGGCGCTTCATCGAATCGAAGCACTCCCCGCGAACCAGTCCGCAGCCGCCACAGCAGCAGTGAATGCAGCAGTGAAAACAGCAGCGACAGCAGCAGCAGCGGCGACACCGACAATTCACGGACCGATGGCACCACCTTTGCCGAACCTCGAAGCAGCTCGCCCGAGGCTCTCCGAAGCGTTCGATTCGAGCACGAAGGGATCGGACGTTTGACGATTCGTGGCGACCCTCGAAATTTATTTCGAGGCCATTGGCTGTTCGACCCCGACACACGACGCAGCACGGATTCGGCTCGCGGTGAAACTGTTGCGAGGCCCGGCACTCGAGTGGATATACTCCAGTGACGTGGTCCGCGAGGAGAAAACGTGGGCGCAGGTTTGGGCAAACCGGATTGCAAGGTTTGAACCAACAAATTCGACCTACATGGCGCGGAAGCAAATTGACCATCATAAACTATACGAGAGTGTCAAACTATATGTGCTGCTTGTTGTGTAGGCTGTAGTGGGGTAGCCTGTATGGGGTACAACACAAATTAGGGTTTCCTACTTGTACCCATCCTGCTGCTAGTTCATTCATTCCTGTTCGTTATTCTGACATGGTTTCAGAGCAGGTCCTAGCCTAGGACCGATTTCTTAGGGCCCACCGAGTAGCTCTACCCCACCCGTCGCGCCACTGTGATTGCGTTGCCCTGCCCTGTCCTGCCCTGCCCTGCCCTGCCCTGCGCCGCCTGTTGCAGCGCGCACTGCTTTGCCTGCGCGCGGCCTGCTGAGTCGCGCGCCGCCTGCAGCAGCGCGCCCTGCCCTGCCCGCGCGTCACGTCGCCGCATCGCCCTGCCCGCGCGTCGCGCCGCGCGCCCTGCCCTGCCCGCGCGCCGCGCTGCCGCGCCTTGCCTTTCCCGCGCGCCGTGCTGTCGCGCGCCCTGCCCTGCCTGCGCGCCGCGCCGCCGCGCGCCCTGCCCTGCCGCGCGCCTCTGCCCTGCCAGCGCGCCGCCGTCGCGCACCCTGCCTTGCCTGCGCGCCGCGCCGCCGCGCGGCCTGCCCTGCCTGCGCGCCGCGCCGCCGCGCGCCCTGTCGTGCCGCGCGCCTCTGCCCTGCCCACGCGCCGCACCGCCGCGCGCCTCTGCCCTGCCCGCGCGCCTCTGCCCTGCCGTGCGTGCCTCTGCCCTGCCGTGCGCGCCTTGCCCTGCCGTTCGCGCCCTGCCCTGCCGTGCGCCCTGCCCTGCTGTGCGCGCCACGCGCCGCTCTCTGCTGCACTACTGCTAGCGCGCTCCCCTGCCTAGCTCGCTATGGCCACTCTCAATGTTCTCACCTTCGATTCGGAGGGCCGCCCGATAGAGTTCAATGCGTGGCTAGACGACTTACAACTGTTCCTGCTGACAGACTTTTAAGGACGGTACCTCGCTGTTTGACCTCACTTCTGGTGCCTTGCCCGCCCCTGACGCCACAGCTGACAGTGCGACCCGCTCACAGTGGCTTACCCGTGACGCTGCTGCTCGCCTAGCCGTTTGCAACCACCTGCCGTTAGCCGAACGCGCCCACTTTGGCCAGCATAAGACAGCAAAAGCACTGTACGACGCTGTAGTCACTCGTTACTCCTCCCCGGCCACTGCTGCTCTAGGCCGCCTTCTCCTGCCCTACCTATTCCCAGACATGTCCGCCTTTGCCACAGTAGCCGACCTAGTCACTCACCTCCGCACTAGTGACACTCGCTACCGTGCTGTGCTCCCCGCCGAGTTTCTCACCAAGAACCCCCCCCCCCATGTACATCACGCTCTACTTCATAGTCACCCGCCTCCCTGACTCTCTTACTGCAGTCAGGGACCTCCTCCTTGCACTTGACCCCACCAACCTCACTGTCGACCTGCTCAAGAAGCACCACCTAGCAGCTGAGACTAGCATAGTCGCTGTAGGTGCTTCTCGTGGCACTCCTCGCACCCCCTTCTTTGAGGGGTGTTCGCCCTCCCCCCTTCTCCCCTCAATCGCCTCTTCTGCAGCTGTTGACTACCTTCGTGCTGACGAGGTAGGAGTTGCGTCTGCACCTAGTGGGAGGCGCCGCAGCGGCAGGGGCAGGGGAGGCAGGGGAGGTGGGGGTGGCAAAGGTGGAGGCGGTGGTGGGGGCGGTGGAGGCGGTGGTGGGGGCGGCGGTGGAGGAGGTAGTGGTGGTGGGGGCGGCGGGGGCAGGTGGCGGCGGTGGTGGCGGCTGTGGGAGTGGTGGCGGCAGCGGTGGTGGCGGCGGTAGTGGCGGCAGTGGGAGTGGAGGCGTCGGCAGTGGGGGCGACAGGGGTGGCACCAGCCAGAGGGGAGGCCTTGGAGGTGGCCAGCGGCAGCAGCAGCATCAGCCCCTTTCGTCTCAGGAGCTCCGTGAGTGGTTTCCTCAGCGTGGAGCGGCTGGGGGTAGTGGTCCCTGCTCGTATGTCATTCGCACAGGTGACCGCACTAGTCAGACATGCGGGAGGTCTCACACTCAACACCGCTGCTTCTACCGCCTTACCGACGCCTTCCGCGCAGAGTTCCCCGACGCGGCTGAGCTCCCCGACTGGGCGGCGCTGCTTAGGCAGAATGTTGATATCTTTGCTCTAGACTTTGATGCTATCCTATCTGCCATGTATGCATTGTTTGTTAGTGCTGAGGGTGACTGTTACCAGTGTATGTCGCCTGACCCAGGTATAGAGGCTGCTGCTCTAGGTGCTAGTGAGTCTGCTGCCCTAGGTGCTGGTGAGTCTGCTCTCTCTGGTACTGCGTCTGCTGCGGCCCTGAACACCTTCACGCTTGACTCAGGTGCTTCCCGCTATTTCTTTCGCGACAGTACCACAGTCACACCACTTACTGCACTTGTTGCTGTGTCTTTGGCTGACCCCTCTGGGGGCCCAGTCCTTGCACGTTCCTCCACTGTTCTGCCCTGTTCGGCGGTTCCGTCTGGGTCACTGTAAGGTCTCCACCTCCCCTCGTTCTCTACGAACTTGGTGAGCACAGCTGTCCTCCAGGATGCGGGGGTTGACACCTTCACCCCTGGACGGCAGCGTGTGGCGATCTGTACGTGGTCCCGGACCGGTCGCCACCTGGCCACGTTCACCCGTCGGCCTGGGTCGAGTCTGTACACACTGACTACTGCGCCTCCTCAGGTAGCTGCGTCTGCGTCTGCGTCAGGTCAGCTTGCTGCCCCCTGCTCGTGTCGGGCTCTGTCGTACCAGACGCTCCTTTAGCACCTCTGTCTTGGTCAACCCTCTGTGGCACGCCTTTGTGGCATGCACTCCCGTCTCCTTGTCTCTGGTCTTCCCAAGTCTCTGCCTCCCCTCCCACCCTTGCCTGCCCCTCCCTGCCTTCCCTGTGTCGAGGGGCGGCACCGCGCTGCTCCTCACTCCTCCTCGTTCCCCCCGACAGAGGCTCCCCTACAGACTCTCCACCTGGACGTGTGGGGCCCAGCCCGCGTCCGTGGACAGGGCCACGAGCGGTACTTTCTGCTGGTTGTCGACGACTACTCGCGTTACACCACGGTCTTCCCCTTGCGCCGCAAGGGGCAGGTCCCTGATGTTCTGATCCCTTGGATCCGCGCTGTTCGTCTCCAGCTCTGCGACCGGTTCGAGACGGACCTTCCAGTCCTGCGTCTGCACTCTGACAGAGGTGGTGAGTTTTCCTCTGACCTCTTGCAGGCCTTTTGTCGTGCGCAGGGCATTCGCCAGACGTTCACGCTTCCGGCCTCTCCGCAGCAGAATGGGGTTGCTGAGCGCCGCATTGGCTTAGTCATGGAGGTCGCTCGTACCTCCATGATCCATGCGGCTGCCCCCCATTTTCTGTGGCCGTTTGCGGTCTGATACGCTGCGGATCAGCTCAACCTCTGGCCCCGTGTCTCCTTGTCGGAGACCTCGCCGACACTGCGTTGGACGGGAGAGGTTGGCGATGTGTCGGTGTTCCGAGTCTGGGGCTCTCGTGCCTTTGTCCGCGATATGTCCGCGGACAAGCTCTCCGCCTAAACCTTTCCCTGCGTCTTCCTTGGCTTTGTCCCTGACGCGCCTGGCTGGCAGTTTTACCACCCCAGCACGCGCCGTGACCTGCCCTCTCAGGATGTCACGTTTGATGAGTCGGTTCCCTTTTACCGTCTCTTCCCCTACCGCACCGCCCCTCTCCCTCCTCCGCCGCTCTTCCTAGCACCAGGTCCTCCTCCGGTAGACCCCCTCCCCCCTCAGGGTCCTGCTCCCTCAGGTGTGTCCCAGGTAGACCCTGTCGAGCCTGTCGAGGTAGCTGTCGACTCTGGTGCTGCTAGAGGTGGTGCGTCTGGGGGTGCTGAGCCTGCGGGTGTGGGGCTTGGGGGTGCTGAGCTTGAGCGTGCGGAGCCTGGGGGTGCTGAGCCTGGGGGTGCTGAGTCTGAGGGTGCGGAGCCTGGAGGTACTGAGCCTCCGGGTGCGGAGCCTGGGGGTGCTGAGCTTGAGCGTGCGGAGCCTAGAGGTGCTAACCCTGGGGGTGCTGAGCCCGAGTGTGCTGAGCCTAGAGGCCCTTCGGGTGTCTTGTCGCGGCCAGAGTCTCTCTCTCCACTGCAGCTACGCGAGTGGTTTGCTCGGCGCTGGAGCCTCCGGAGTGGTGTTGCTGGAGCTGGAGCTGCTGGAGGTGTTGGAGCCACTAGTCCCGGAGGTGCTCGTACTGGGGGTACTGGAGCTGCTGGGGTTGGAGGTACTACTGGAGCTGCTGGAGGTGCTGCTGGAGTTGGAGCTGCTGGAGGTACTGGAGCTGCTGAAGCTGGAGGTGCTTCTGGAGCTGGAGCTGGAATTGCTGCTGGAGCTGGAGCTGGTGGAGGTACTGGTGCTGTCGGTGCTGGTGCTAGGGGTGCTGTGCAACAGCGACCGTACTTCGTTCCACTGCTTCAGCAGGTTCTTGGTCTCCCGCCGTCTGCTGACCTTGCTCCTCCCTTCTCGTGTCCACCGCCTGACCAGTCCCAGCCACAACTACTGCCAGCCTCTCTGCTGCCTGCTCCTTCTCCTTACACTGAGCAGCCCGGAGGTCTTACTGAGCGTCGTGAGCCTGCGTCTCGTCCTGCGTCGCCTGTTTGCGCTGGTCGCACAGGTCGTCGTGTTCCGCGTCCGCGTCCTCCTCCTGTCCCCGGCACGGACCAGATGGCACTTCGTCCTTCCTCTGTTCCACTGCGTGTCCCTCTGCCGTCTCCTCCTGCGTCCTCCCTTGCTGACGGTCCGGACCTGGAGTCTGACTCCCTTCGTGCTGCTAGTCCTACTGTCACGCGTCTCCTGGCCACTGTTGTCACTGGCCCTTCCTTTGAGTCCACTGCTGCGTCTGCCTTAGTTGCTAAGCTTGTGAACTTCGCTGCTCGCTGTCGTCTAGACTACGCCGCTAGTCTTGTTGCTGAGTCTGAGTCTGTCTGTCCTCTATCCGTCGGGGGTGAGTGTGCCCTTGGCACGGACGTCCTTGAGGACAGGCAGGAGGACTTTGAGTGCTTTGCAGCTGCTGTACCTCATCTCGTGTCCATGCTCATTACACCTGAGGGAGACCTGGATGCACTAGACATCCCAACCCCGCGCTCTTACGCAAAGGCGATAGAGGGTCCCTACTCCTCTCAGTAGCAGTCAGCCATGGACGCAGAGATGGCATCTTGGAAGTCCACAGGCATTTACGTCGACGAGGTTCCCCCACCTGGGGCGAACATCGTCAGTGGCATGTGGATTTTCAGGGTGAAGCGGCCATCGGGTTCTCCGCCTGTCTTCAAGGCTCGTTACGTTGCACGAGGCTTCAATCAGCGACAGAGAGTTGACTTCTTCCAGACCTTCTCCCCTACCCCGAAAATGACCACTCTTCGGGTGCTACTGCATGTCGCCGCTCAGCGTGACTACGAGCTTCACTCTCTTGACTTCAGCACTGCTTTCCTACAGGGTAGCCTGCACGAGGAGATCTGGCTGCGCCGCCCATCTGGCTTCACTGGGTCGTTCCCTCCTGGTACCCAGTGGAGCCTCCGGCGGCCAGTCTACGGTCTCCGCCAGGCGCCTTGTGAGTGGCACGACACACTGAGGATGACCCTTGCGGCTCTTGGCTTTGCTCCCTCTACTGCTGACCCATCGCTGTTTCTACGCACCGACACTTCGCTGCCGCCGTTCTACATCCTCGTGTATGTCGACGACTTGGTTTTTGCCACTGCTGACACTGAGGCACTGACTCTAGTGAAGTCGGAGCTGTAGAGGAGACATACGTGCACAGACCTAGGTGAGCTGCGCAGCTATCTTGGCTTGCAGATCACCCGGGACAGAGCACGGCGCACCATTACCTTGACTCAGTCACAGATGGTGCAGCAGATCCTTCAGCGCTTCGACTTCTAGTACTCCTCGCCACAGGCCACTCCTCTGCCTACTGGTCACTCGCTCTCAGCTCTGCCTTCGGATGAGTCCGTAGAGCCGAGTGGCCCATATCCAGAGCTTGTGGGCTGCCTCATGTACCTGATGACCTGCACTCGACCTGACCTTGCTTACCCTCTTAGGATCCTACGTGGCACCTAGGAGACACCGACCAGAGCACTGGTAGGCCGCTAAGAGGGTGATGCGCTACTTGTGCAGTACGCCGGGCATGGGGCTTGTGCTTGGAGGACGGAGTCGAGTTGTCCTCACTGGTCACGCAGACGCTTCTTGGGTTGACGACTTGGCTACTCAGCGGTCGTCACAGGGTTACACCTTCGGCCTTGGTTCCGGCTCCGTTTCGTGGCGGTCTACCCGCTCGTCTTCTGTTCTCAGCTCCAGCTGTGAGGCTGAGATCTACGTAGGGGCCATGGCTGCACAGGAGTTACGCTTGCTCACCTACCTGCTGACCGACCGGGGAGAGGCGCCTCGTTCTCCTCCAGTTCTGTACGTCGACAACAAGGCCATGATTGCCTTGTGTCAGGAGCACAGACTGGAGCACAGGACGAAGCACATCGCTCTGCGTTACTTTCTTGCTCGAGAGTTGCAGCAGCGTGGTCAGCTTCGTCTTGCTTACGTGGCCTCTTGGGCCAACACTGCTGATATCTTCACCAAGGCACTTCAGCCTTGTGATCATTAGCGTTTCTGTACTGTTCTACGTCTTGTGCCTACCTGGTCTCACTTGCTCACTTCTTGACTTTGCTTGTACTGTGATCTATATACTTATACCTGCATGCTTACACTTGCTAGGTTGTGATCACTGTACTGCTTGTTCTCCTTTATATATAACTCTGCATGTGAACTGGCCTTGTGGCCATTTGCTTGTGCTCAGAATGCGTGGTGACTGCGTGATCCACCCTGAGCTTGCTTAGCCTTTCTTGACTGGTCTTTTGACCTCTTGTTCTCCCCGAATTTGCCTATGGGGGTGTGTCAAACTATATGTGCTGCTTGTTGTGTAGGCTGTAGTGGGGTAGCCCATATGGGGTACAACACAATTTTGGGTTTCCTACTTGTACCCATCCTGCTGCTAGTTCATTCATTCCTGTTCGTTATTCTGACAGAGAGTGTAGCACAATAGACGCTGCAGATGGAGCAGTTATTTAATCGCATTACTGACCTGACTGAAGGCGAAAAAATCCAAGCGTACACCGAGGGGTTGAAAATGGAAATATGCCGACAGGTCATCGCTGGGTTTCGTGCTGCGAGTTTTGTGCCTCGCATACGCTGATAATGTTACCTTCTCGGGAGGTATTGACGACGCGATAGCTGCTTTCACACATTTCACGGATCAACTAGCGGCCATAGGCGTGCCGTACAATTCGTGGAAGTGTGCCACATGGAGCCTTACGGGGAACAGCATCGCTGAGCAACTTCCGCCAGGAGTACCCTTAATCAAGGAAGGCGTTTGGATCCTGGGTAGCTTTCTTGGAACCACCACTGACGCGCGAAACAATCACGCGTTTGGGAACAGGCATCTCTCCCGCCCTCACTTGGCGGAATAGGACTCACTGACCCCACGGTGGAGGGAGTTTTTGGTTTCCTCGCGAGCTTCATGCAGGCAGACTTAGCAAGCTGCCGTTGACTACAGATGGAGTACTGACTACTGCAAAGAATCATAAGCTGCTGGCTTGGGATGATAGCTCCGCCCTTCACACATGGCTGATAGAATGCGAACGCGCCCTACCTGCAGATGCCTTAGAGACCATTTAGAAAGAAAGGCTGGAGCCGTCCGGTTTGAAGCTCCAGCACGCCCTCTCACTAAGCGTACAAGGGGGCAGATACACCGTATAGGTGCAGCAGACGAGACGCATGCGGCTCAATCCACTCAAAGGACACACGCAGCGTATGTACTCTCTAATCGGCTACGCTACGGGTGATTGGCTGCACATCATACCTATAGTAGCGAACCGACGAATTGGCTCGGAGCATTTCGCCAACTCAATCCGCTTCCGGCTGGGCCTACCCTTTTCAACAACCACCAACTGCGACTGTTCAGAGGACACAGCCATCACAGACCCCTGACTGCCTAATCACCTCTTCCGCTGCGGCACGGGCAAGCACCGAATCAACACCTATAACGAGTTACGGGACGCATGCATCAGTATGACGCTTGTCGCGGGGTTCATCGTTCATGCCGAATCTTCATCATACTGGCTGGTCGAGGAACAGACGGCTGACATCACCACCCGGGATAAGAGCTTTGGGGCCGTTCACATCTGTGATGTCACCATCACAGACCCCATAAGCACTCGAGACCTTGAGGCTACCAAGGGGCGGGGCTGGGCTGCAAGAGAACAAGCAGATAAGATGATTCAGCACTATGCAGCCAGGCCCGACTCAGTAGGCTTCTTCCCACTGGCCGTAGAGACCTATGGCTGCCCCTGTGCGGAGGTACCCGTGTTCCTGAAATTACTGGCGGACCCTGCAGCTCGGCGGTACTTCAACACCGATCCAAACTCTTTCCAAGCTGCAAAATTCGGCGACAGCGACGATGATGTGCAGCAGTAGGTGCCGTGCCCATCTGCACGGCTAGTGCAGTGATCCGTGTGCTGTGTGTAGTTTGCACTCCGAAGGGTTTTCCCTATGTATTTTATCCCTTGGGTTCTGGGTGGCCCTAGTGTGTGGGGTGCCCAAGCGTGAACGCGGCAGGGGAGTTTTGACGGGAGTTGGCCCTGCCCTCACTTGGGCATAGCTGACTTCGTGGTCGGGTGTGTGGGAGGTGCAGCCGACCCTCTGCAGTATGCGAGATCTGAAGCTTCTGCGCAGGTCGAGTGAAGGGTTGTCTGTACACGAGGTGTACCAGAAAACACATGCAAGAGTAACTGAAGTACCCGCGAGTGCAACGCAAACGTCTCATGCACATGTGCAAGTGGCGCAGCTGGTGCAGAGGTTCGCAGGTGTTCATCTGCGCAGGGTCGCCTTGCGCACTCTCGCAAATGCACAAGATAATTTCAGGTAGAATTTCAAATGTGCCCTAATATCGACCAATGAGGAGGCGGAAATTCGACCGAGGTGGTCGAAGAAGGTGGTCGACGAAGGCCGTCGACCTGCGAGGGACGACGAAGGCCGTCGACCCGCGACGACGAAGGCCGTC